GTCAAGAGGAAATTTACGCTATTAAATTGTGTGAGGAGAGCTTGGAAGAATCCAACCTCATAAACAAGTCAATAAAAATATTCTCGGACAGTCAAGCGGAGTGGAAGCTCTTGGCTCCTACCGAGTAACATCTAAATTGGTTGCAAATTGCAAAAACGACTCTCCCCAATAGGAAAACTCAACAAACTGTCTCTGGTTTGTTTGGATTCCTGGTCATACTGGCTTGGAAGGAAATCAAGCTGCTGACTCGCCTGCATAGGAGGGTGATGCAAGCGGCCTCATCGTACCAGAACCTGTCATTGGCATCGCATCAGGCTTTGCCAAACAAACATTGAACACCTGGATGGCAAAAAAATTTATGGACTTCTAGCAGAATCTTCCAGGATTGGCTCACTCCAAGGCGTTTATTCACCCTTTGAAGCTTGAAACCAAGCAGTTGTTGGACTACACTTGGGATGAACTAAGATGTTTAACAGGCCTTCTTACAGGTCACTGTCATTTGAATCATCATATGCAGAGACTCGAACTGTCGGAAAACAGTGTGTGTCGTCGCCTGTTTGGAAATGATGAAACAGCAGAGCACATACTTTTGTGCCTGCTCCGCTGCAGATCGAATCAGTTTTTGGCAGAGCCGCACTCTTACCATCTGACCTGAAAGACCACTCACCATAAACATAAAATAAACTAATAGGCTTCGTTCAAAAGCTGGGTTGCAGTAGAGGGTCGAATTGACCCACTCACTTTTGACCTGACTTAACCTACACACAGGCTTGTCCTTCGGAATTAGTTTGAAAAGCTACCGAGAATCCAGCAGACATATAATCTACCTTGCCGAAACTTGGTTTGACACTCATGATGGCTGGGTAGACGAAACCAAGTATTGTGCTTTGAACACACCTTCTTCAAGGGGAAAACGTGTTATAATTTTGCCTGCCGGGAATGAGAGTGGTTTCGTACGTAACGCTTTGCTTCTGTCGGCCAGATGCTGATTACCACGAAGATATGACTGCGGCTTTATTCGAAACCTGGTTCAGTGAGCAGCTTCTCCCAAATATTCCTCCAAATTCGGTTATTTTTATGGATAACGCTTCATATCATTCTCGGTTATTGATTACAATACTAAACAATAACACAAAAAAGCAGATATTGTTGAATTGAAATGGTTTGGCCCACAATGAAAGAAAGCTTGCGGAAATGTAATCAGTCACCGACTTTGAATACTGTGAATGTGTGGAAGAACTGTGTGCCCACGTTATAAAAGAGGAGAACAAATATTATGTGCAAAGTTCCATAAATCCGATCGTTATTCAACCCGATGATGATTCCACCTCATCCGAATATAGCGAAGAAGAATTTTGATTTTTCTAGCAATTTTGTTGTCCTCTATTATTTTGTAAATATATGTTTGATGAGAATTCGGTGTGATTGTTTGTGTTTTCATTGTATTTTAGAGTTTTCGACTCGGAAATCAACTACCTTAACTTTCGTAGTCTTTCATAATTACCCATGGTGGAAAAACTCAGTTGAGATAACTTTTTCATGGGGTGATCAATTGCTATGATTGTAAGTATAAGTAACTGAAAAACTACCACTGAAAAATAATATGCCGACGCCTATGTCGAGGCGGGAATTCCCTCTCTGTGCTATTCCAATTGGTATCGGAAATACTATACAACGATTTTTCAGCAGAATGTAATTCTTACAGTTTTGGGAGCTCATGTATTGAGTATACTATACGCCTATAAGAACATGAAGAATAAAAAATAGATTTTCATACTCATTCTACTCGCCAGCAGAACAATTTTAACATGAAAATTTGAAAAAATACTATTATGTGATAATTCTTACTGAAAAAAATAATGAAAGCCGAGATTTCAAACTGCTATTCAGTATGCATATTTTCGAGTTCTGCCAATTATTATGCTAATTATTGCCAAAAGATAATTTTTTTGAGTGTTATGATTGTTTTTGAAATCGCTAAGCCTTAAGGAAGATCCGTTTGTACGTATATTTTACGACCAATAAACGAATAAAAAATAATAATTGAGTTTCAATAATGGGATATTTCGTCGAAGCGAAGATTGATGTTGTGACTTATGGTATCAACACTAATTCAAAGAGTTGAAGAGGCACGAACGAAAGTTATTACTGTAATTCATACTAATCATGAAATACTCACCCACCCACATTATTTCCTGGAATTTCCACCTGTGTATGTGCCATGTAAAGTTTCACGTACGTACGTGTTAGCAAATAATTGCATTGTAATTATACCTTTAATTACAGAACTGTATGATTCAATAAAAACCTGAACCTGGTCGCTCTGAGCTAATTATGGACATTAATCAAGCACCTGCCAGATTCGCATTCAATATTCAATGACTTCCAAGACAAAGGAATACCATTTTTTGAGCGCTTGACGACCGTTCCAGTTACTCTTATCATAATGAGAAATATTGTGCAACGAGTCAATTGTTCCAGGCAACATTCGTCATCCATTTCAATACCGTTCCGATGAGTCATAACCGGCGGTTGATGGAAAAATTTCAAACGAAATTTTCCAAACGACCACCCTTTTCAATTTAAGGAGCAAGATGAAAATGGAAAAACATTTTTTTCAAATGGGGATCATTGCATAGCAGTTGCTGATGACGTAACAATATCAGCAAAAACTGAAAAAGAACTATGTTTATTGATAGTTACCTCTGAATGAAACCCTACTCGAAAAAATGTGTAATTATGGTATAATTGGTAGTGCTTTGGAACTAATGCAGAATAATTTAAAAGAATGAAAACAAACTTTCAAAATTGCTAGCAAGCTCAGTGCAATATAACAAATCAGTGTGGGTATACCCCAGGGAACAGTACTTGGCCCGATCCTTTTTCTTGCTTACATAAACGCAATAACGCAGATTAATAAATTTCATGCTCATATAGTGTGTTATGCTGATCATATGGGCACGATTTTCACTGGTGAAAGTTAGGACGGAGTCTACAATACTTCTTAAATTACTCTTCTAAAAGTACAATCAGAGATAGTCTTTCTTTTG